GGCCAGCCATAGGTTTTTCTTTGCCACGTGGACATACCCTAAGAGACTTGTCCAATATCCCCCAAGAGGTCCCAGACAAATTGGCAGAGCAAGCACTTAACTGCAGAATTTGAAAGTCCTCCACTAGCATCCTGGTTATTGTGCCATACTTCAGGGCAGGATTTTGTTACCTTGGTGGGGAAGGCTGTCACTGACTCTGGGTAAAATCCGTCTCAGTGCTGAGGGCCTGCTGATGGAACTATGTAATGGATCTCGGGCCTGCCAATGGAATTATGCGATGCAACTAGGGCCTGCCGACGGAACTATGCAACACTGGAGTCCCACATCAAGATTTTAAGAGAAAGGCCATCGAAGTCACTGAAAGATGCCCAGTGACCTCAAAGGGCCTTGGATCAGGCTATAGGTGAGGCTTAAGTAGTGGTGCGCCACGCCATGTCTGAGCCACCGTGCCAAGCTGAATTTCATCCTAAGGGTTTAAATCAGTGGTCCTCAAACTTTTCAGGGCTGGGAGCAGGGCCACAGCTTCCAGTGGAGGGAGTGTGTGTGGACAGGGGTAAGGGGGCCAAGGCTGGGCCACAACTGGGGGCAGGTCTGAAGCCGGGAATGGCTGGGGAGCAGGGCCAGGGCTGGGAGCAGGGCCTGAGCAGAGCTGGGGGCAGAACAGAGCTGGGTGGTGTTTCCTCCCTGCTGCTCCCCCCAAAACGTTCCTCCACGCCCCACAGGTTGGGAATCACTGACATAAATGGTGCTCATGGGATACGTAAAGGGTGAGTTGTATGTTACACAGATAAATAAAAGCAGGACTCCAGTCTCCATGGTTTTCAATCTGGTGCTTGATTGAGCTCCCTGGTAGGAAAAGGAGATCTGAGAGTTTCTGAGGGTTTCTAAATTTCCACAGAAGACGCTAGAAGGAGCCCAGGGTTTGTGTGGAGTGGCAGGCACCCTTTCTGTCCCAGTGTGCCCACGTGTCCCTGATTATCTCTGAAGGGCTAACACTGACTGTTCAGCAGCACTCGTGAGAAAAGCATGAGGAAGTGTAAAAAAAACGTGGCTCCGTACCTGTTCAAGATGCTCGTCACATCCTAGAAGAGGGGAAAGAAAGAGATACTCCCTTGCATTCATGTCACTCACTGGACAGGGTGTGTTCTTCATTCCCACCCGCTCTGTGGACTACCCACCAAACGCAAGTCTATAAGTGCTCCTATGCATTAGTCCTTATCCTTGACTTCAAACTCATACTTTAGCTCTAAGTATCAGTATTAGCTCTAAGTACCCACAAAATCTTATCCTAAATAAATCTGTTAGTCTTTAAGGCGCCACCGGACTCCTCGTTACTCTTTTCTCTTTTCAATCCCTAGTCATGGCCAAAATTAAGTCCCTACACTCTGGCACTGACTTTCTTTTTTGCTGGTGGGTGCTCCACCCTTGCTCTGCCCCGAGTCTTCACTCCCGCTCGGCCTCTTCCCCCAAAGCCACAACCCCACTCCATCTCTTCCCACCCTCGCACTTCCCCCTCTCCAAAGGCTGCCCCTGCCCGCCCGCCGGCGGCTCCCTCACTCTCCTCTGCTCCCTCCCCTGAGCACCTCCCACCTGCTCCTCTTCACCTCCTCCCCCCGACACCCCCCCGCCCACTCACCACTCGCTCCTCTCCACCCCTCAGCCAAGTGCCTCCTGCCCACTGTGCTGCTTGCTCCTTTCTGCCCCCTCCTCCATTAAGGGTGAGTGACGGAGGGAGGGAGTGGAGCGGGGCCCTCAGGGGAAGAGGTGCAGCACAGGCAGGGCCACCTGAAAAGAGGCCAAGTGCTGGTGGAGCCATGGTCCATGGATTCTGAGCACCCCCTATTTTTTTTCCATGGGTGCTTGAGCCCCGGAGCACTCACGGAGTCAGTGCCTATGCCTACACTGACATTCCCCACATTGATAATTCCGGATAAGACATTCCCCTTGTTCCTTACATTTTATAAGAGCTGAGGGCCAGATACCCAGCCTGTGTGTATATCAGCACAGGTGACTTCAATGGATGTGTACCAATTTTCAACCAGCTGAGGATTTGGCTCTATGGATGAAACGGACCCTTGTGCAGAGAACCCAACACAAGATACCACTGAAATCCTCCAACCAGTGCTTCAGTGGAGGGTTGTGGTTTGGACAAAATGTCATTGAAGCTAGAGGAGAATGTCAGATACCTGCAAAAAACACTTAAGCTCGTTTATTGCAGCCCCCACCTAAAACATAGGGATATTCAAGCAATTAGAACCATATGGGCTGGTTACTGGGTGAGGATGTGTGGGTGAACCACACAGGAACAGGCTGGAAGAGACACTACAGATACACCCTGGACAATCACGAAGTACTGCTAGTGAAAGGAGGCTTGGAGCAAAGATATGATCTTCTGTTGTTTGGGTCCTTCTGTGTTCTGGGAAACAGGACTTGTAAATGAACTAGACTGCATGAAAGGTCTCTGACTCCACCACCAATTTCTCCTCCCAGCTGGAACGACCCGCAAGACATAAGAACATAAGAATGGCCCTATTGGGTCAGACCAAGGGTCCATCTAGCCCAGTATCCTGCCTTCTGACAGTGGCCAGTGCTCCAGAGGGAATGAACAGAACAGGTAATCATCAAGTGATCCATCCCCTGTCGCTCATTCCCAGCTTCTGGCAAGCAGAGGCTAGGGACACCATCCCTGCCACAAATGTTTTAGCTAGCTGCTTGGGCTAAAAGGAATAACATGGAGCGGTGGGGATGAATTCCCCCATGACGCACTCTCTTTTGTGTACCAATCCCAATAGCTTTGAATGCAGCCATCAGTCAGAAGTAGAGCTGGTTGGACATTTTTCAAATCAAAATTCCCATCCACGCCCCACACCCGGCCATTCATTTTTATGTATGTATGTATGTATTCTGTTGGGAGAAATGGCTGCCGTTATTGAGGCGTCTTATTTTTGTGATGCTGATGGGTAAAGGCCTTCTCCTTCCATGCCCAAGAGCTCATGGCTCCAGCCTTACCTTGAGCAACTCAAGCACCGGCTGTTGGATTTTCTCTTTCAAGTCTGTTATCAGTTGGTTGAGGAGTGAAATCTCCTTGGAGAGCTCGGTGAGGTTCTCATTCTGCTTCTTGGCGATGCCCTTCTCCATCTTCCCCAGCTGGCTCAGGAGGAGATGCTCCTGGTCGTGCAGAAACTGGCGCAGACCCTCAAATTCAGAGATGAGCATCTGCCGCTCCAACTCTATAGTTTTCTTCAACAAAAATAAATGACCAGATAGAGGGCAGGTCAGTAAACTCATTTGATGGATTGTACATCGCTGAATGCAATGGCAGCATGAGGTAGTGAATAGAGCTAGTCAGAAATTTTTGCTGAAACAGGTTCCCACTGACGAATACCAATTCAACCAACCCCCCCAAATTTCCATAGATTCCGGTGCCAGAAGGGACTGTTGAGATCATCTAATGTGACCTCCTGAACAACACAGGACTTAGAACTCACCCCACAAAAAGAATTCCTTTTGTTACGAGAGCATATCTTAAATAAATAAGCTAGCCCTCCCACTTTTTACCTTCCTTAAGGGCAAGCGACGGGGGGAGGAGGCAGAGAGGAGCGAGCAGGGGCCGGGATCTCAAGAGGATGAGGTGGTGCAAGGGAGGGGTCTCAGGGGGTAGAGACATTGCAGGGGAGGGTCTCAGGGAGAAGAGGTGGTGTGGGGGTGGGGCCTCTGGGGGAAGAGGCAGCACAGAGGCGGGGCCTTGGGGAAGGGGCAGAGTGAAGGGCAGGGCTATGGTTCAGGCGCTGGTGCTCCCCCCTCCACACTTCTAGGAAGCTTCCAACGCTCCTGCCTCAGGGTCTGACCCTAAACCCATTAAAGTCAATGGGAGTCTTTCCACACACTTCAGTGGGCTCTGGCTCAGGCTTTTGTCTTTCTGGGCCTCTGTTCTCCATCTGTAAAATGGGGGTAGTAGCACAGCCCTGCCTCACAGGAGTGCCGTGAGGATGAAAACATTAAAGACTGTGAGGTGCTTAGATATTACGGTAACGGTGGGCTGATAAGAACCTTAGATTGACTATAAACTAGTGAAGAACATGAGTGAATTTCCGCTTTATGTGATCTCTGAACTATAAGTAAATTCACACAACCCCAGTTAGTTATGCTCTCATTTAACCCTGTTCCAACCAACTAACTACATATTGACTACATCATTTATATATTGAAGGGGGACTTCAAGGCCCAAAGAGCTTAAAAACTAAGCCCTGGTCTACACTACAGAGTTAGGTCAACGCAAGGCAGCTTACGTCAACCCAGCTCTGTCAACGTCTACACTAAAATTTCGCTCCCACCGATGTAACTCACCCACTACACCGACTTAATAACTCCACCTCTACAAGAGGCATAGAGTCAATGTGGATGTAGTTAGGTCGACGCAGTGTCAGTATAGACGCTGCGTTGCTTACATCAACTATTACCGACCTTCAGAAGCTTCCCCACAGTGACAGTACAATCGGTGCAAGCGCTCCCGGTGAGGACATGCACCACCGACACAAGCTGCAGAGTGTAAACACACCCAAGTGACGTAATTACTGCAGTGACTGTACGCTGACATAAGTTAGGCCAACTTCATTTTGTAGTGTAGACGTGCCCTAAAAGGCAAAATGGAAGAGGCGGATGGATGAGACCAGCAAATGGGGAGGGAGAGACAGGGTGACAAATGTGGGTGTGCCTTTCTGTACGCGCCCAGAAGAGGGGAGTTTTGAGAAGGGATGTGCGATGATGGCTCTACAGATGTTGATGGGGCCCTTCTGCTACTTTAAGGGGCAGACTGGGAGACGGTGCAAAGACTAGGGCCTGTGGCCACGGGTGCCACCTTCCTCCTGTCCCCGGGGGTGCTGAACCCCCGCTCAGCCCCAGGCCCTGCCCCCACTCCACCCCTTCCCCAAGCCCTACCCCCGCCTCGCCTCTTCCTGCCCAGTTCCACCTCCTCCCCTGAGTGGACCCCATCCCCACTCCTCCCCCTGGAGCACCCCTGGGTTGGTGCCTATGCCTGTGGCTGCTGGTTGTGTGCACACGGTAGTTTTATCACCACACCGCTGGGGCTGAAGTGCATTTGTGCACGCACAGCCATCACACAGCATGGCTGTGCTTGTATCGGCGTATTCTGGACAAATATGTATGTGACTCAGCATGGTATAAAGTCAGGGGTGAAAGTAATTTACAGGACTTACTGGTACTGCCGGAGTCCTGAGGGGGGCATGGCTCATCTGGAAGAGGCATGGCCTCAACCGGAAGAGGTGGGGCTCTCAAGATTTAAAGGCCCTGGGGCACTGGTTGTGGCTGGGAGCCCCAGGGCCTTTAAATCAACCCGGGGCTCCCAGCTGCAGAGGTGGCTGGGAGCCCCTGGGGTTCAGAGGCAAATTAAAGGGCCCGGAGCTCCCACTGCTGCGGGGAGCCCCGAGCCTTGCCGGGCTGGGGCCGGGATTTAAAGGGCCTGGAGTTTCCGCCGCGGCGGGGAGCCCAGAGCCCTTTAAATCCCGGCCTCACCTGGCTGCCGGAGCTGTGGGTGGGATTTAAAGGGCTCTGGGCTCCCTGCCACGGCGGGGAGCCCAGAGCCCTTTAAATCCCCACTGCAGGAGCCAGTGCAGTCCGGCACGGCGTACTGGCTCTTGCCGGTATGCCGTACCGGCTCTTGCCGGTACACCGTACCGGACTGTACCAGCTTATATTCACCTCTGTATAAAGTGCTCAGATGCTAACACAGTGTGGAACAATGTGCTCTGGGATATCCAGTCACACAGAAAGACAGGAGAAAGACCAGGCAAACTGGTTAGACAAGCGTGGTTAGGTGACTCCGGCCACAGGTCACAAAAATAATTGCTGGGACAGTTATCTAACCATCTGCCAGCCTGGCTTTTGGCTAGGGTTGAAATGTCATCAGAATTATTAACATGTGTTGCCAGCTCTCATGATTCTATCATGAGTCTTACTGCGTTTAGTGTGCAATACTCTCCCTTTTATCTGAATGGCCTGGGGGGACATCCAAAACTTTCAGACAACTTGGAAGTGCTACTTTTGAGCTGTGTTCTAGCTGCAAACTGGCAGGCAGTCATGGTCCAGGTTAAGCTGGGAATAACTTTACCTGACTGGCTGCTGTCATTGCCATTTTCCAGGCTATCAACCAACGAATGGCAGAATTCTGCCTGGCAGCCTCTCCCCTGCCAGCCCTGTGGCTGTCCCAGATTACTTCTACTCTGCAGGCTAAGGGTATGTCTACACTTAAGCCACTACAATACTGTTTGATTGGCAGGGAGAAAGTACTCCCGAGGCAGGGACTTTTAGTTGTGTCTTAGTACAGTGCCTAGCACAATGGAGTCTTGGTCCATGACAGGGGCTCCTAGGAACTGTAATAATTATATCATCATCATCATCAATAATTAATAATAGCAAGATAATAAACAGAAGGGGGAAGGGCAACAAACTTTAGCTTTGAAGGAATGACATGAAATGGGCACTAGATAGCAACAGAGGATAAGGAATGAAATGCATTGCTCTAATGCATGTATGGTCAAAAACTTCCCCTGGGTTCTTTTTCTCCTTTCACCTAGATTTGGGTTGCACGAATTTTCCGAGTTAAATCTGGATTCCCCTCCCCCCTCCATTGTTTATTTTCTCTAAATCAAGCATTTATGTTCCACTCCCTTGTGACATCCTCCTCTCACACCCCATCCCCCCTCAATCTTGAATCGAGCAGGCTGATATAATACTAAGCAGGGGAAACTGTGTAAATCTGTGTAGAAGTTTGCATGGTACTCGAGGTCTCTGAGGATGATCAGGATACATGAGGCTCAGCGGGGCATGACCAGTGACAGAGGAATGGGAACATGGGGCTTGATCCAGCCCTGTGGCGATTTGCACAGCTCCCACCAAAGTTACACAGGTTCAACGCCTCTGTATTTGCTCAGCACCAGAGGAGCGTCTCAAGTTATCAACAGCTCCCCTTTCCTTCTACCGAGACAACAGCTGATGATCCAGCGGGAGTCCAGAGCCAGCAGTCAATAAATGTTGACTTAAATAGCATTTTGCACTGCTTGCTATGTAGTTGTGTTGCACTTTGACTAGACAAGAACTACCGTACTTTCCACTGCAAAATCTCTCTGTTGTTGCTGCTGACCTATATTCTCAAATGTGATCGATGATTTTGGGGGGTTTCCATTTTGAAGGGTCCAGTTTGAGACACCACAAAGAGTCCAGGATTTCAGAAAGTGCTGAGCTCACATCCCCTGAAAACTAAGCCCCTTTAACTCCCATTTTTGACCGGGTAATTAACCTTCGGAACAACTCCCGCAGGCATGTGGTCAGTGCTTAATTTTGTAATGAAAGAGGTGCCAGGGCTCAAGCAATTTTCTTACATTCATAACCAAAGCAGCAAGCCCAGAAGTGCTGGGGTTATGAACTGCCAAGGCTAGAAGTGCCAGGATTCGGCACTGGTACAAATTAAGCACCAGATGTGGTGGATTCTCCATCCCTGAAGTCTTTAAATAAAGATTGGATGCCTTTCTAAAAGCCACGCTATGGCTCAAACTGGGAAGATGGGCTTGTTGCAGAAATTACTGGGTGGGGGGCTCTGGGTCTGTTTTGCAGGAGGTCAGACTGGCTTCTAAAATCTAGGGTTCCATGACTCTAAGGTGTCTTAAATAGGGCAAGGGCACCAAAAAAGTGTGTGTGTGTGGGGGGGGTGGAGCATCAAAAATCACAAGTCCCTTTTCAGATTTTAGGTCAGTTTTAGTATTTCTATGACACCTATTTCCGTAATAACCCAATGGGAATCAGGAGCAGCGGAAGCACCCTAAAAGTGGTGGGGGGCTACAGGTGCCTGAATCATGGCTCTGTCCCCTGCTGCACGCCACCCCCTAAGGCACCACCCTTGCACTGCCCCTTCTCCCTGAGCCCCCTCCTTCATGCCAGCAGTTCCCCCAAGGCCCAGCCCTTGCACTGCCCTTCCCCCAAGATCCTGCCCCCCGTTCACTCCTCTCTGCCCTCTCCCGCTGTCGCTCACCCTTACAGCCGGTAAAAAGTGTGGGGCTATGACCCCCTGGTCCCACCTGTTCTAGCGCCCCTGATGGGAATACAGTGTTACATACTAAGAAGAATCAAGTTTACCACCGTGCAGACATAAATGTCAATAAGAGGCTCCTAACTCATTGCTATCTTGCCATTAATAGCAGGCACCCACCAGTAGCTCTTGACTTTTCTTATCATCCTTTGATTTAAATTCCAGCAATTCTTGTCTCTCTTTCTTCAGGAAATCCAAACGGCTCTTAATTTGTTCCTAGGAACAAGGGGAAACATTCTATTTGATTATTATTATTTGTTTTTGTTGGGGTCTTATTGTGTTGGTGTATTTTGTTCTCAGTGCACAGAGACAACACAAGAGAAAAAACTCAGGGTTACTCACACAAACACACTCATACAAATGAAACAATCGTGTTCGCACACAAAAAGAGGCAGACCTATGCATACATACAAACAGACAGACAGACAGACATACACAGAGAAGGAATGCAGTCATATATGCGCATGCACACACACACACATATACACACACACACACACACACAGAAGAAACTCACATACATATTCATATATACACGAGAGGACATTCTCACACACACAATACTGCTGCATTTATCAGCTGTAAATTCCATTTTAATTAAACTGAGACACGACTAAAAAGGTGCAGTGTCGGCAGAACCCGTTTTGCATCCTCGCGAATCCTCCCTT